CCTTTTTTTAACACCCCCAAGCAAAAAAAAGGGAGGAACACCCCTTTCCCTTCACATGTTTACTTTAAAGCCCTAAAAAACACGCCTCCCCCCCCCCCCCCCCCCCCCCCCCCTCCCCCCGTTCCCGTTCGCTCCAAAAAAATACGAGAGAATAGGAATAGACAGAAAAGGATAACGACAAAAAAATATAAGGAAAAAGGAAAAAAAGAAATGCAGAAACGACAATAACAACATCTTTGTTTTATTCAAGGTAAATAATTTCTATGCGAAAAATTTCATAGTTATTTTCAAAAACTTATTCTCATAACAGAACAATACAATTAATTGAATCAACTATTATTGATTAATCTGTTAAGTTGAGCTTTGATTGATTTTTTTTTTGTCCTATAGAGTTTATTTACATAAACAAACTAGATGAATTATGAAATGGAACCTTATCTACAACAACATCAATCTCATATCTATCAGGGTAAAGTTGATTAGTCGTATTCCATTCGTAGTTTAGCTTAAAAACGATAATTTATATCTACATGTCATTTTTCTTTCAAAGCAAAAGATTGGTATGTAACTATTATGACAGATTCAAATGAGTTCGAGAACTTTATTATTAGAATTTTTTGCGTAAACATATTTGTGGATACTGAGTAATATATATCAAAGCATTTTCAATTTTATTCAATCTGTAAAACAAAAAAAACCCAAATGCGAAGAATTTTCAATCAATCTAAATTCATCATAGTAGTTTCATATAAATTAACAAATAGTTATGTTTACATTTTTCTATTTAATATGCTATTATTCATTTCTTAACCCATTTCTTTTTGTTTTGTTTAGTCTCTACATAATATTATCTTTATTATTCTTTTAGTCCATTCATTGATAACTAATCCTTTTCAAGTACAACGACAATCAGAATCAAATAATTCTTCAACTATGTTTAATATAACTGATCAACTATCAACAAATTATCAAACAATATCAGGTAAAAATAATTCTTTTTTTTTATTTAAAAACAAAAAAAGAAAAAAACAATCTAGATGATCAATTACAACCTTCATCGACACAATTAAGAGAAAAATTACGAAAACAACTTGAATATTATTTTTCCAGGTAAATTTTTATCAATATTAATAGAAAATAATAAATATTTTTTTTTTGTATTTTTAATATAAAGAGAAAATATGATTCATGATAGTTATTTACAATCACAAATGGATGCTGATAATTATGTACCGATATCTTTAATTGCTAATTTTAAACTTGTTAAACGTCTTACACATGATTTACAATTAATTATTGATGTTCTTAAAGGTAAATATACAATGAATTTTGTGTTTCTAATAAAAATATTCAATTATTCTAGCTGGAAATTTAATTAAAGTTACCTTCTCCACAACTGTCTGGAGAGAATGATTTATTGAAAAATTTGTGAAACTCTCTGATCAGATGGATCTTAATGAATAAAATAGGATGAGTCATAGAATCGAAGCTTTCCAATAGCGAGGTCAGAATGACATCCCGTTTTGTCCTCATTACGTCGAGATACTATATGCTCGATCGGACAGAAAATCTTTTTTTTACGGAGTGTTGGACACTATTTTAGATGGCTATGTATGTATTGTTTTTGCTTCATTTAATATTTTTTCTCTTTGAATTAAAAAAAAAAAAAACCTAAAATATCGAACACATCCTTACAAAAATGCTTCATTTTATTTTTACTGAAACAAATTTTGTAAACGACACGAAGAAAGTTCAATAAGCTATTACTATATCGGAGAAATGGAAGCGAAACAAAATTAATTTCTGGTTGTCTTGTAAATACTCATTGTTTTCTTTTCTTTCTATCGGAATTTCTATTGGCTTTTGACTACTGCGCATTCGATGACGTTGCTATCATTCTTGGAAAGTACTTTTAGTTAAACATCTGCAAAATGCCTGGAGTCAGAGAAAAAAGCAACATATTGATTGAAAGTTATCAACTGTTCTCATGTCAATTTTAGATAGATAGAGAGAGAAAGATAGAAAGCTATTGGCAGATGAACAAATGAATAATATATAGCATCATTTTCAAATTAATCATTTTTGTTGAACGATGTGTCATGCAACTCTAACTTAATCAGCTTTTCGAAATCAATATATTTTCAAAAGAATTTTTTATTTCGCCGATTGACAACGAATGTTTCATAGTAATTGATTTTCACGTCCCGAGAAGAGACGATACTCTTATAATGAAAACCAATTATTAATACTTCATTATTTTATGAAACTCAATACAAAACGAATGTTTAAGTATAGGAGTAGAAATATTTGGACCAACTACCCCCTTCTCCTATTGGTCGTACTAGACATTGTTGAAATACGATGACAGACCAATATGTCAATAATACCTATTTATACTATATGAACTAATTCTCTAGTACATTTTTCGAGAATTAAATAAAAGGATACGAGAAAAAAAAATGTGTCCCAAGATAAATAAAATAAAATATTCTGCTTGTGATAAGCAACATCAGCTACAGTATGTTTCATATTTTAATTCCTCAGGGATTATACTAACAACTTGAATTATTATATTTTAACTTATTTAATATTTTACATCATTTGAAAATTTTTCTTTTTTAGAATCACCATCAGTTGAAGTTGATATTGAAGAGAAAAGAGTTCGTTCATCAGATAATCCAGTATATGTTCCAACACGAAAACGTTGTATTATTATATTACGTAATGTACCATTAGATGCAACTGAAAATGAAATATTGGAATTATTTTTAAATAAATCTTGTCCAGTATCAGCTATTGGATGTGAACGCGTATTAGAATCAAATCATTCAGATTGTTGGTATGTAACATTTAATAGTGAAGATGATGCACAAAATGCATTTTTATATCTAACAAGAGAAAATATTTCAATACGTGGTCAAAAAATTTTGGTAAAAATTATATTTACTTTGTTTGCAAAATACAAAAATCTTATTTTTATTTTTTCTTAGGCTCGAATGAAAGCTTGTCTATGGCAAAAACCTATTATATCATTAAATGATGGTACAAAAGATTCATTCATACCTAAAACTTTCTCATTACCTTCAACACAAGAACAAATTACTCCTGTTTATATCCAAACAATACCAATAAATCATACAAATCAATCATCAATTGTTGGAAATCTATCACAACAACAACAACAACAGGCAACATTTAAACCTCGTCATATACAAGCATTTCAACAATATTTACCAATGAATTATAATTCTAATATATTATCACATCCACATAACATACCATCAACACTTTTATTTACAACAAATATGCAACCATTAAATATGAATTATTATCCACAAACACATTATATAAATAGAAATGTAAATTTTCAATATAGAAAATAATAATTTGCAAATATATTTACTTTTTTTTTTAGCATTCTATTTTTCCAATTAATTTTTGGTATATACCACCAACAACAGATTCATATTCACCTATGGTAAAAATTAATTTCTTAATATATAGTATTATAAAAAAAATAAGAGAATCACCTACTGTCATTGATTACTTTCGAATTTTATTCTTTACGGACACTTTTTTCTGTCAATTAAGAAAAAATGTCCGCTATCAAGAAGACACGCTGGTAAAATGTTGCCAGTAAATTTGTAACGAAAAAACTGATATTGATCAACAGTGATGAATCTAGAATTTTTATGATGAGAGATGATCATGATTATAAAATGTATTTTGAAATTTTTTTCTGATAGGAAAAATCTTTTGGAAGGTAACGATCGCTTCCCCCCTAAACCCACTACTGTTGGTTCAAAAGAAAATTCGAAAGTAGTCAATGGTGATTGATAATTTTTTAATTTTTCAGAGCACTATATTAGAAAAAAAAAATTCTAATCAAGGAAAATTTATTATCTATTTACAGTTTGTTCGTCTCAATTCTTTAATTCGAGTAGGAAATTTTTCATACTTAATTTTATTTAATCTTACTATTGAATGCATAGGTATCATAGTAACTGGAAATTTATTATTTCGTAGAATAACTCAAAAAAAATTTCTTTGTCATCAGATATACTTGCATGCGTTTTAGATATGAAAAATTCGACAAAAATAAGTAGTCAAATATAATCTATAGATTATAACAAGATGAAAGTTTGATAAATTTTCAATAATTTGTTTTGTATTTATTATTTCTAGACATATAATATTCAATCTAAAAGTCGAGTAACAACAGCATCTAAACCACGGTAAATAATAAACATATGACAATTAATAAAAACCAAAAAAATTTGTTTTTTGTTTTCTAATTTATTAGTAATATAACAAAAACAATTTCTAATCATGTAGAACTCTCAAATCATCCAAATGAATTACTTAATTCAAGTCAAAACAGTACTTCACAGTTCGTTGTTTTTTTTTTTCTATTATCATAAATTAAAATTTCAATTTTTGTTTTTCTTATACTTTTAGTTTTGAAGATACTAATTCATTAATTTCTCATAATGAAACATTTTCATCTGATAAATCGACTATTGATAATTATCAAAATTCAAAAAATGAATGTCATTCATCAATTCAAATACCTAATGATGATATATGTAAATTAAAACAAACAGAAATAAATAATTCATTAATATCTCGATCTATTGAACAATTAACAACGACAAATGATTCTATTCATCAACGTAATTAATATCGAAATAATGATAAAAATTAACAAACGGTGCATTATTTATGTCTTCTAATGATTTAAAAAGAAACAAAAAAAAAAGACATTGAAATTTGTTTGGTGCTATAGAGGTTATGATATTTTGTTTCACAGAGATAGATTTTTACATATTAGATAAATGAATTTCCCAGCTTGTGTTGCTCTTGTTCTTTTTTTTTTTCTAATGTAAAATTCGTTTATGTTTATATCTTGAGAACAATGTAGATGATATGATGAATGAAAAAGAAGAAATAAAATATGCATGACTTTCTCTCGGACAAGGCTCTTGATATTTTGAAGATACGAAATTTCATGATCTTTCTTTGCAGTCGATTTAAGAAGATAAGTTTCATCAAGTAAAAAAAGAAGAAAATTCTTTTCCTTCAAAAAACAAAGTTTATATCATATAGAATGTCAATTCTAGATTTTTCAAGACTGTCATACTAATAATTTCAATTTTCGTGTGTTAAATTTGTAAATTAAGTGGTAACTAAAATTGAATAAATTAAGAGAGGATGTGCGAGATCATCTCGACTGCCGGTATAATTTTGACTTTCGATTTAACTATCTGAAATGGAAGATCTAGTCAAATTATAGCTAAATCTAACATATTAATTCTGTCTGACTTGTTTGTGAAAAATACCAATGTATGCAAGTGGCACATGTTTCGACATCTGGTCAAAAAAACAATCAGTTTTTTTTAGGGTGTTCTTAGTATTTTTCACTTTTCTCTGTGTCCGCTTCTTCTTCTAAATTTGGAAATGTCTTACAAGATGCGGAAATATTTTCTCTACACAACTGGATATAACCCATTAATCTCGAAAATACTATTCACCAAGTGATAATACTGATATACAGGTAAAAATGAAGATTTTTTAAAATGAACATTTTCTAGTATTTTGACTCTAGTCACACTGCATCATATTATCCCAAAATAATTTATCTATATTTTCTAAAAGTTCTTCCAAAATCTACTTTTATTTTGAGCTTTTTCTTCTGGCTCAAAAAAAATTGTTCTACTGACACAAGAAAGGAGTTTCTTTAACATCAAAACGGCAGTTGTTTTGATATGATTATGGCCGTCAACTATTGTCACTTAACACTACTGAAAATACAAACAAGTTTACTGTTCAATCATAGACTGAGATAGATCTAGAAACAAAAACCTACATTAGCTATTCAAATTAAACTTCCGATTTAACTGCTTATAGATAAATTTAGACAAGCAAATTTTCATTTATTATTGAAAAAAAAATCACCTCGTTTAGTTGCTTATTGACAGGAATTTAAACGAAAAGAAAACAACATTCAATTTATCATTTAAATTAAACTCACCATTTAGCTGTTGATTGAGAAGAATCTAAATATGAACCAAAACAAGCTTATTATTGAAATCTAGATTACCATTTAACTTATCATGAGATGAACGTAATGGAAAAAAAGTGAATTTGTTATTGAATACAGATCTACAAGTCAATTGTTTTTAAGATGAATCGAAAAGAAGGAAAAATTTTTAAAAGATGAACTTCATTGTAGAGCTCACAAAGTTTGAAATATATTTTTATTCGAATAAGTATCGTCTGAGTTACTTGTGATCTAAAGTTGCGTGTTCAGTGTACTCATCTGTTACTTCTGCGGATACAATGAACGTTTCGGCTAGATCTAATGTTATATTATCTGTTTATTCAATATTTTTACCAGTGACAAAACGTATAATAATAAGTTAAGAAGAGAACATTTGTGGTAGAATGAAAGGTACGAGTCTATCAGAATATCTGTAACACTCACAAGCAGATTGAACATCCGTGCAGTTTCTTGAAAAAAGGAACCAGATCCCATCCATACCCTGTTTTTTTCATGATTATATTCGATAAGGTAAGCTATTGCAAACCTATGTTATTTAGGTCTTATTTCAAAATAATTCAGCTTAGTTCAAGTGATTTACACTGGAACCATCTGTGTAAAAGAAGTTCAACATAAAAAACAAGGTGCAAGATCGAACTCGTCTGAACATCTAGATTCCTTTTTATCTGACACGATTTTTTAAATGATATAGAATCTTTAATGATTTATTAATTTTGATAGAATGATTTATCAGATGATGATAATTTAAACTTTATTTTAACTATTCTTCTCTATTCTGTATGTTATTTTCATTATTGAACATAAATAAAATGAAAAAACAAGGCAAGGTATCTATGAAAAATCAAGTTCTAAAATAATCAATTGTTTATCAGGACTTTATCAACACATTAAATGATCGCACAATAATGAATGAACCATGATAATTAGCTATTTTTTACATTTTCATTAGTTGATACCGATTGTTCTTAAATACATAATGAATGAATCATAGCTTATTTTATTCAGGAAACTTTTTTTTAAATATAGACAAAATTTTATTGGACCAGGTTTCAATCCTGCAAATATGATCGATTTGTTATTTTATCTTATCCCAATCGCAGAAAACACTCCTAAACGACGAACAATATTTTTCATTACAACTGAACTATACCACAAGTCGACAGGAAAAACGGGCAAACAAAAGATTAAGTATTAGGCGTAAGACAGTTCCATATCAGTTCCGATCTTGAGAACTGTTCGTACCGGTTCTTTGCTAGGAACTGATCAATCCCACCAGTTCTTTGATAGAAACTGATCTGTTCCTACCAGTTCTTTTCATTACAGCTATCCTATGGGGGTACCCTTAGGTCCTCAAGGGCTATCCTATAAGGAGTATCCTAAGTTTTTCGAGAGCTTTTTCTATCAACCAATCAGATAGAAGGGAGCTTTTTCTCCTCTATTGTAAGAACAAAGCATACTGTTATTCGGGTCATAAGCAATAGGACCACGGATAACTCCCTGATTGGTCCGAACGACACTATGTTTTGCATCTACAGTACAGAACAAAGCCCCGCTGGAATCTAATTGGTTGATAGAAAAAGCTGTCGCCCAACTAAGGGTACCCCTATAGGTAGTCCGTGATAAAGTTTTGAGCAGCTCCAGGTTCCAGAAACTCTTCGCCAACTTTCTAATGCAGCTCTCGCAAGCTGTGGAACTGGAACTGCCAGCCACCTACTATTAACTGATCTCTTTCAACAGTTTTTGATAGGCACTGATCTGTATTAGAAATTATTTTGAATGAATTGATGCTATCAAACATCTTATTTCAGCCTTCCCATTAGATTTGTAAATGGCCCATTCTGAGCCATGCTTGTCAACTGCACAAATATGCTAGAATGAAGCTAAAGGAAACCTAATGCTATAATAGAAGTGTCAGATTCTCAAAAGACGAACTAGTCCCTAGGATAAGTTCTAAAAATAGAAGTGTTTCAAGATATAGTTCTCAAAAAAGAATTATAATGCGATTAGATAGAGGGACATTCATCATTCATGCTCTAATAGTAACTACAACTCATTGCCATTTTATCTTAACAGTTGTAGAGCTCGATTGGTGATAGTACATTACTTAAAAAAAGAATGTATATCAAATGCTGAAAGTAAAATGAATCGATGTCTTCACTACTAGACTAGTTCTTTTTCAAAAATACTCTTTCGTTCTATTATCTCATTTTGATATTCATTTGTTCAATTTATAAGTCAAACAGGAACCTATGTTTTGGTGAATTGCACTGTGATGAGCATCAATGTTTCATTCGCTTGAAACTTACAATTTTGCTTAATTATATATTCTTTCATGACATTTTCATCTTTATTTTGTTATTTACATCTTCATCTTCAGAGATGAAACATTGTACCTGCCCACAAACCCAAGAAAACAATTTTTCTCCTATTTTTGGTAAGGACAGTATACATTTCTCATAGAGTATTCTTAAAAATGACCTTCCATTCTCTATGATATTTAATTCTCATAAAATATTGTAGCCTGATTATATATGTTGAAGGGTGTGGGTGTGGTGAATGTGGATGTGGGTGTGGCGTATGGGCAACCACAGTAATATTCTCGTCTGTTGCTCATTAATTCTAACAACATTTCGACAAGNATAAAAATGAGAAAAGTATAGATATTCAGAAGAATGTCAAATTATCTATTCATATTTTTATTCTAAAGAATTTATTGTTTCTATGTTAAAAATGATTTGATTTTTACTATCAACATGTGATTTAAAATGCTATAAAGCAAGTATTGAAAATATTTTATTCATTTTTCGTTGAACCAATTCAATCGTTGTTTCAATAGAACAATATTTATCTTTTTTTTGTCTTATCGAAATTTGAATTTGTTATTAGACCTGTAATGAAATTACTTGAAGTAATTCGTATATCAGCAACAAGTGATGAAACATTTCAAACATTATTAACTTTTGGTAAAGCATTAGGAAAAACAACAGTATCATGCAAGGTATGTTAGATTTTTAAATTTATCATTTCTTTGTATATGTGGGTTATTTCATGCAAAACAGGATATACTGACATTTTATTTTACTTTGATTCACAACAAAAATTATTCTTGGGGATACGTTCTTTTAACATAGATATATGTAATCATTATTAGCTCTTTCAGCTATCTATTAATTAAAATTAATTAATTCATGTATGCCCACAAATATAATAGCCTTGAGTACTTTTTTGCTATAGCTCAAGAATGAAAAGAGCTAGATAGCTGCAGTTTTCACCTTTCAGAAGAGAGGATCCAAGGCTACTAAAGTATATCAAAATTCAATTTTTCAGTCATAGACTGATCAAGTGAGTTCTTGATGAAGATTTTCGAAAATGATATTCTTAAGCGATTTTCATTTCAATTTTCTTCTCTTTGGATTTACACAAATCCAACACCCATAACTTGTTCCACTCGAGGATTATTAAGCTTTTCTGAAGACTCTTGAACTTAGCCAATTGGCCTGTGATTACTCATAAAAGTGGTTAAACAGCGGAAACTTACTATACTGAATCACAATGAAAGCTGATTGGGCAGTTTTAGAAATGCTAAGAAAACAATGTCATGTCAGTTTGAACTTAAAAGCAAACATCAGTATTCAACTCTGCATGGCGAGTTATATCTGTCAAGGTGTCTTTCTCGATAATCATAGGTCTCAGGAAACGTTTTAATAATCCTGAAACTGAACTAGCAAGAAATATTGGCCTTGTGTAGATCGAGAGAGAAGAAAATTTTCTATCGATTAGTTCTAATAAGCGTCTATATTGAAATGTAAATAGCTTGAGAATATCTTTTTCAAAAATCTTCATTAAGAATTCACCTTATTGAACAATTTCCTAACTAATTCAATTTCAATCGCCTTCGGTGTCCCTACGTCTTCTCTCTTGAATAATGAAAACCGCATGTCTCTATATTGCTCCTATTCAAAGTTATTTAAAAGATGGCAACTCGCTTTTTATTTTGAATCAGGCAATAGCTCGCTAATTAATCAATGACAAAGTAACTAGCGAATATCTCTCTAACTATGCGAGAAAAAAAAACCGAATATCTAAGGATACGATCTACGGTAAGAACCACATCTTCGATGAAATTTTCAGCAAGATCGAAGCACGGAACAATATTCTCGCAAAAAATCAATTTTTTAGAAATCTATCAAGTTCCTAACTAAAAATTTATGTCTTATCATTTGATGTCCTTTAACGCTAATTTGTTTTTTTGATAACAAAGGTCTCTAATGCTGATTTTTTCAGAGTATCTAAAGTAATTCAACATACATTTAAGATTAAAAAAATTGCTCTCGGAAAGTTCGTTATTCTGAGATGTACATATTTCAATTTTACGAAGTCACATCACTAACGAATGATTTTGTCGATCTGTTCTATAGGATACACCAGGCTTTATTGTTAATCGTTTATTAGTACCTTATCTTCTTGAAGCAGTTCGGATGATCGAACGTGGTGATGCTACAGCTGAAGGTAATAAGCAAATATCAAAGTGTATTTCTTTTTTTATTTTTTATTTTCTAATATATTATTTTATAGATATTGATACAGCTATGAAATTAGGTGCTGGTTATCCAATGGGACCCATTGAATTATTAGATTATGTAGGATTAGATACATCAAAATATATTGTTGATGGATGGAAAAAACGTTATCCTGATGAACCATCATTTAAAACAAGTGAATTATTAAATAAAATTGTTAGTGAAGGCAAATTAGGCAAGAAAACTGGTGCTGGTTTTTATAATTATAAAAAATAAACAATTGAAATATGATTCGTTTATTATTATGATATTCTTGTGATTCGTAGTCTTTTACTTGTGTTTGTTTTTTTTGCTCTTAACATACGATTAGCTTTATACAAAATTTCAACGAGATTTAACATTAGGAATTAAAAAAACACTAAATAAATTGTCTATTAAGAACATGACAATACAATATAACTTCTACTAAATAAAACATTTTGATTACATTTGGAACATGATTGGGCTTGATGAGTCCATTTTTGTAATAAATCCATAATACATCTAATCAACAAGAATGTTTTGATGATAAAAACAGAAAAAAAACGAAAATTTTTATTATCGTTCATTTCATAGAACATATGTGTACATGGTAAAATTTGTATACGATCAGGTTGTATACCCATTGGTGTTTTAAAACAGAACATAAAAGATCCACTTCTTGGTAAAGACGTTGAGATCTATCTAATACATTCCAAGTTTCTTCTAATCAATTATCCGATGTAAGTATACGTTCGTTTAATGGCTAGCATCGATTTGTGAACATGAAGAAAATAAATTTTAATTAAATTAAAATTTTTAAAATTTCGTTTGATTTAAATTTGATAATTTTGAAGTTTATGTAAAACAATTAAAATTCATAGTTAGGTTTTTAAAATTTGGTTATTGAGAGTGTATATTGAAAGTAAATTGTTTTGAAAGATTTTAATAAACAGCAAACTTGTATTTTAACTAAGTTTGCTGCAATTAGTAGAGAACATTAGTTTTTGATTAAATAAGTTTTTTTAAGCTTAGCACAATTCTTAAAATTTGTAGAGAGCCTTAGTCTTTCATAATAGAAAGTATTCTACTTGAATACGGCTACTGTCGTGTGTAGAGGATCAAAACTCTTTCTTGAATATAGACTTAAGGGTGTGTGTGTGAATGATGACCTTATATCGAACACATGCACACCCACACATCCATATCCACATCCAAAGCTTATGTGCTCGATTTTGAAAAAAAAAGAATATTTGCAAAGGTTATAGTAAAATTCATATGGAATCGAAATTCAATATATGATCGATTTATTGTTGCAATATAAAAATACATTTCACAATATATTTTTCGGTTTGTAAAATACTATGTTCTATCATCATCTGTACGAGCGTAAAAAAAGTATTTCGAGACATCTGTTCAAAATTTCAAAACTAGTAAATCTCCAAAAGTTTCTTGAAAATCCACAAATCTACAATGGCATGTCGAAATGTCTGTTAGTATTTGTGGAGCAGACCCGTGGGATATTCGCTTTTTTTGCTATGTAATTCAACATTCATTTGCAGTGATGTTTCACAAAAAACCTGTCAATCAATTCGAGTAATATTTAAGCAAAGACCTCTATCATATAAAAGCTTCAAAAGAAAATGTTATTCCAAGGTGAATGAGTCGAAGATATAAGGTAGTACTGTGAAGTTAAACAATATATCAAAATAGGGTTCTTTCGAAACGAAAGATTTATGAACAACAAACTAAAACAAGAGTATAATGATGTTTTATTGATAACTTTTTAGTTTCAGAGTTTTTTTTAGTGTTTCTTTCCATATTTTATTTTATTTCAAAACGCCAAACAAAAGAAAAAAATTTCATTTTTCTCTTTGTGACAGTTGATTGTTTCATATTTTAGAGCGTGACAGATATCTTAAGATGCTACTTTTCTGTCCACATTGTAGTGTGTAACGGACACGGCGGATGTCGATGTTAGAAGAAAAAAGTAGAATTTTCCTAGATGTGAAATTGTCTGAAAAACAATAGTTAATGAGTATTGAAGAATATAGCAAGAAAAGTGAATCAATTACTGGTTCTCAACATGAGCAGAGAAGATCATCAAAAAAGATATGATAAAAATGGAGATATTTTTTTGTGACTTTGATTTTCCGCATTTGAAAATTTCTTTTTTTGTATATTTCAAATGAGTTTATTGTCCGTTTCAGAATACAATATGGTCTACTGTTTTTTGAATAATTCTCAATGCTTCAAAGCTATCAATGTTCAGTTTTTGTCAGTTGATAGAGCTAGCTGATGGAGATTTATCAATATAAAACTCATTATGATTGAAGAAGCTTTTTGTGATGTGTGGGTGTGGTGGAAAAGAAGAGTCACGCGCGCACTGGCACACTCATCCACGCCCATACCCACATCATAATTCGATAATACAAGTGCGAAAACTGCCGACATCCAAAGGAAACTAAATATTTAAAATAACTGAAAGTTTAATTATAGACATCGGTCAACATTTATGCATATGTGTATAATAAGAAAACGTAAGTTCACAATAGAAAATCGATCGGTTCTATATTTAAAAGTATAGTATTTTGAAATTATTCTTTGTTGTTTTAAACTTAAATTAAGTATTAAATCATTACTCGTCTTAAAGAGATTCAACTGTGACGATAAAAGAGAAATACAATCATGTTTCAAAGTATGCATTCAACTTGATTTTGTTGAATATATGATTTAATTATTCATTTGAATTAAATATTTCACAGTTTATAAGTATAATTTTCTGTTATATAGTAATAACAAAACTATTGGTTCTTATATCGACACAATAAGACTGTTTTCGTTCAGTAGAACTATATAAATCGATTACTTGGTCTTGAGAAGATTAGTTAATTTTGAAAAAAATTTTGGGAGAAAATAAAGAGAAAAATGAGAGATTCTCCATGCTCTGAGTACAAATTCTTTACTATCTCAGTTATTTGTTTTCGCATCCGTCTACCGAGAAATAATATGAAAAAGGAACAAAATTTTATTTTTTATCTTCTAGTCTTATTTATCTTTATGTCATAGATTTGTATAAGTGATGAAAATTTATTAAGTAAAATCGCACACACTTAAACAATCGATCATAGTCAATACTGATTCACATAACCTTCCTCTATCACTTTGCATTCTCCAGCATTCTGTCGGTATTCTCAATATTTTACTCTTCTTCCGATGTATTTTTCTTCTCTACTACCATATACAACGAAGTTTTTTGTGAAACACGATCTACAAAGAGTGTTGAAGTGTAGAGGGGCAGAAATTTGAACCCCATCCCTCCTTCCAGACCGTAACAAACGTTTGTGATACACTATTAGAAATTATAGATCATTAACATCTCATGAGAATATATAAACTGCTTTCTAATTGCGGTTCTAGACGATTAAGTAAAAGTTGATGAGAAGATGGATTCCAAGAGAGATCTATTATGATCTGCATCTTCTTTAGATGCAGTCATAAGGATTTTCCTTCTTGATCTGTAGAATTATACATACTCACACATGTTTCTCTTTTTATGAGTCATGCGCCATGTAATTTTTTCTTTCTTGTCCATATACGTTGGAATTTTTCTATCCCTTTGTTCTTCTTTCTTTCATGTTGTTATATGGATTTTCCCTTGTTCATCTTTTATAGGGGTTCTAGTCCTTCTTATCACTCTATATACAACGTTACGTTCTTGCGTAGTTTGGAAAAGAGACGTATATAGTGATATCGAAACAAAGTATACGTAGGATTAAGATCTCTCAAGATTGAATAAAATAATGTTCGCTCGATTCGTAACAAGAGCTACATCGTGTTTCACATTTTAATCTCGCAGAGATTGCGCTAACCGCTTTTTTAAAAATCGATTCGTTTGAGATTATCTTCAATCATTTGTTAATCGAGTGAAAGCTCTTTCGATCATTTTTTTCTCAATTATTTGAAACAAATTCTGGCAAAGAGTGACAATATAGTTAGTAGAGAATCACAATTCAAACATGATAAGCAATATACTATTTACAAGACATCTGTCATGTATGCGCTTTTATGATTCCAAAAAGTATGATTTTCTTACATTTAGCAAAATAAAAGTAAATATCTCAATGAGAATATTTTGACCTAGAGAAAAATTTCGAAATAGGAACTACGAATAACTTAAGTTGTCAAACTTTTTATTGAATAGACCATCATTACAAGAAAAAATTGATCAATAATTATGTAATTTTTCGATTTTTATTATATAAAGTTGATAAATGAAAATGATTAAGAAACTGTTGTCAAATAATCAACCATTTCAAGCTAATCATCAAACTGTTTAGGATAGCGTGCACTAACAAACCATACATGATCAACACCTTTTAAATCACACTCTTTTACTTCATTATATATTTGTTGTTTAAAAGTTTCACGTTCTTCTACTGGAACATTGTCGAATCTGTTGACTACGGTATCATAATGAATATTAATGGCATCGAGTAGATGAGATACTTTAGTCATCTCTTTTAATGTCGATCTAATCAATACCAAACGCCCTGCCAATGCTTTTCAAAAGCCGATATATTGCATACTAAAATACGAAATCTCATCATTTTTGCCAGGTACATCATATAGACAATAGTATAAACCATTGTATCGGGTAATTTCTTATGTTGTCTCTCCAAAATCCGTTAATGCGACATTTTTATCCAGTAACTTATTAATTATTGTACTCTTGTCAGTTAATGTTGCACCAAAAAAACTAAAAGTACGACCTTCCATCTTGATTGGGACTAGTTTTTTAAGCTAGTATTATTAATGTCTTCGCTGTTTTCGCATCATATTTTTTCAAGTCTTCAAACGAATCAATAATTTGTTCTGCTATCTTCTTGACAAGGTCGGCATATTGAGCCATAAGTTTTTAATTTTGTTGTCGATATCGTTTTAATTCTTCAAGCAAAGCTGAATCCGTAAAATATTTCGGAACAACTAAAGATTCAAACATTATAGCATGCATTTATTTATTCAAGTTCAACTCACTTCCGCCCATAATGAATAGAATAAAGTTGATTTCAATATCTAATGTTGATACAGTAGTCAAAGTCCGTACAATGTCTTATATGTAACTATACGGCAGCAATAAATGGATTTTTTCTTCATCATAACTCAAACATTATCGTCAATGATGACTAATTTCATTCTTCCTCCTGTGTGGCATAAATCATAAGGTCAGCGTCTGAATAGAAAGAATATGGAAAATA